ACTCATACAAGGACCCTAAGACTTGTACACAGATTCCTACAAGGATTACAATTAGACTAAGTGACCGCATTAATGTTGGTTAGGTGTTTTGATTATCATCCTTGTCTTTATCTTCAACAGTATTGTATAGCCACAACTTTACATGTGTCTTCTACTATGGCATCATGTCCCATTAAAGTTTTGCATGAAGCTTTCTCTCCGTGCACTGGAGTGTAAGTTCTCTAAAGCTTCATGTTGCCCACAAGCAACCATAGATGGAAAATCCACACATGGTGGTGGTGAAAAGTTCATGCAATGGATTTGATACCTTTTTAGCCTGAACGGGCCTAGATTTGAGTTTTGGGGGATTGAAGAAGACCCGTAAAGAAACAGTGGAGACACTGAATTTTAGCTAGGGGAATGTCAAGTTCTAGAGCGATCTCATGTTTTTTTATCGGCAAATGAAGAGTTTGGCGGGATCATGGACATCATAAGCTTGCCTCAAGTAGAATTTGATCATTAGTTTAAAATATTAATGTATATAGTATCCCATAACGAAAAAGATTATTAAAGTGTCCCATATAGAAAAGATTATTATATATTGTGCCGCTGCCCAGGGTGGCCATCAGAGGCGTGAAACGTAGTTGAGTGTCAGTTTTGGCTGCTAGGGTTTAGGGTTTTCTTGAGAGCATTTTACCTTATTCTATCAACATATTGTTCATAATCTGTTCATTTATTTAGTCATTTATGTTGATGATATAGTCATCACGGGCAATGAGGAAGATTGTATAATAAAACTGAAGCAACATATGTTTTAGCATTTCCAAACAACAAACTTAGGCAAATTGAAGTATTTTCGAGGTATTGAGGTCACACAGTCAAATCAGGAATTGTCATCGCACAATGTAATGCCCTGGACATTCTTGAGGAGACAGGTATGACAGGCTGTAGAGCGATCAACGATATATCCTATATATGGATCCGAATATCAAACTTCTACCATGTTAGGGAGTTCCTCTTTGTCATCGCAGAAGATATTGGCGGCTGGTTGGTAAGTTGAACTCTCTCATAGTAACTTGACTTGACATTGCCTTTCTTCCAACTGTTGTTAGTCAGCTTATGGACTCCCCATGTGATAGTCACTGGAATGCAATTGTTGGTATTCATCGATACATAAAATCAGCCTTGAGCAAAGGATTGGTTTTTGAGGATCAAGGCCATGAGCAGATTGTTGGATACACAAACTAATTGGGCAAGATCACCTTCTGATAGGTGTTCCACACTTAAATATTGTGTTACAATAAGAGGTAATTTAGTGTCCTGAAAGAGTAAGAAACAAAATGTGGTTTCTCAATCTAAGTACAATAATAGAATCTCGAGCAATGGCTACATTAACTTGTGAGCTAGTTTGGATCAAGCGATGAGTCAAAAAATTATATTTTGGAGAAATCATTATGATGGAACTTGTGTGATAATCAAGTGGTTCTCCATATTGCATCAAATCTGGTGTTTCATGAGAGGACTAAACACATTGAGATTGAATGTCATTTTATCAGGGAAAAGATACTTTCAGAAGATATTGTTACTAAATTTGTGAAGTCAAAAGATCAACTTGCAAGTATTTTCACTAAGTTCCTCACATGTCCCCGTATAAGTTACGTTTGTAACGAGCTTGGTACATATGACTTAGAGCCTGTTTGAATTGGCTTAAAAGTTGGTCAAACTTACTTGTAAGTCATTTTTAGCGGGAGCAGTGGCGAAACCCAGGAATTTTGCTTAGGAGGTTCAAAGTTAAAAGAAGAAGCTCAGGTTGTAATGTAAGTACGCAGTGAGCGTAGTAACCCCGGCATGCTCTTTGTACAAGTAACCATAGGTATTTCATTGGTTGATAAAAGTAAACACCAAACTAATCAAAGATACTGAGAACAAAGCAACGTTGATAAAAAGTCATTTAAGGTTGACTTTTTATTTTTTGACTTAAAAACTACTCCCTTCGTTTCACAAAGAATGACCTCCTTTCCTTTTTAGTCAGTTTCAAAAAGAATGACCTCTTTCCTTTTTTGGTAACATTTTACTTTTTGTTTTCCACGTGGCATGTTTAAGACCATAAGATTAAGGACAATTTTGTACATTTGACATAACTTTAATTTAGGACCACAAGATTCAAAAGTTTTCTTTATTTACTTAAACTCCGTGCCAAGTCAAACCAGGTCATTCTTTGTGAAACAGAGGGAGTACTTTTTTTTAGCCAATCCTAACGGGCTGTTATGCACCAGCTTGAGGGCAGTGTTAGTATATTTATGTATATAATGTTCCACATGAAAAAGGATTATTATAGGGTGTTCCATGTGGGAACTCCACTAGATTTACTAGTGGTGCTAAGTTAGGAGGAAGTTCATGAAGTCTTTTAATGTTCCTGGGAGTGGACAGAAAGAAAACCTGTACTCCTTTGGCTAAGGCTATGTAGAGTTGGAAAAATGGGTTCAGGTGACCAAACACTAACCGTGGCACCATTACAATGTAAATACTATCTCCTGCTCGTGTTCATTTTTTTTTTCTTTTTTGAATCACTGCGGAGTCAATTCTTTGCTTTATGTTTGTCTGAAGTACATGGTAAGGGATAATTACTACTATATAGAAGCCAGAAAGAGAGCAAGCTTCCAGTTAACTGATTGATTGGAGTAATTAAGTTCATTTTTAGAGGTATTATGGTCATATTTGTGTATTATTTGCTCAATTGCTTGTATTGTATGCTTGAAAGCTTGGCCTTGACTTTTCCCGATAACAATACCTTTGCCAAAATGCCAATAGACCATGTGGGACATTTTGGAGTGTGAAGTGTTTTGCTAACCGCTATAAAAGGGACATAAGACCTCGACAATTTAAATGGCTAAAACATAGTGATACCTTCTCTTTTTTTATTTTTTTACTTTGAATATGGTACCACAATAAAATGTAACCCTGAACAGTCAGTGTTGTAAATATGGGAGTATAATATTCTCGTTCTCGTCTAAGTACTGCTTTTAAAGCAGTTTGTACTGAATTTGTCATGCTTGTCCATTTATTTTCTTGCATGTTTTCCTTAAGTTGTGTATCGCTAATTTTGTGCAGGGTCATGGAGGTGGAGTTTGAGGATTTTGTGCTGGTTCCATTGGAAATTTCGCTTGAAGTTCATAACTTTGTCATAAGATTCTACTATTGAGCTATGTAGTACTTGAATTTGCGAATTTTTCTTGGATCTTTTACGCTCTATAGCGGCCCAACCTTATAACCAAAATGTGTCCATTTTTTCAATCTTATCCGAAATAGTCCATTTTGTATGTATTTTGCAAAAAAGAAAGATTTCATCCCTAACCTACAGTGAAGAAGAGATGCTGGGGATTGAATATACCAATGTTCCAAGTCGGACAACCTCCTTTATTTCTTCGATTTTTAGAGTAATTTCCAATACATCTGCCATTGTTATATGCAGGGGCGGAGCTATGACATGGCGAGGGTGGTCAGATGAACAACCTTCGTCGGAAAATTTTTACGGGTATATATACTAAATACCGAGTTTTTTGGATATATACTAACTGTTGAACAACCTTGACACAATAAAGGTTGACAGTCCAGCGGTTAAGGTTGTGCAAAGATGCCTCAGTGTTCTGGGTTCGAGCCCAAGTGTTGGCGTTTTCTTTAATTTTTTTCATTATTCCATTTGTTCTCTTAGAAAAGGCAAAACTCTGCCTGGGTTCGATCTCAGGCTTGAACATTTCATTTATTTAATATTTGTTCCTTTTTTCTCTTAAGAAAAAGTACAAAAGTTAACTTTATTAAGTTAAGAGAAACAAAAGGTCTATTTTTGACTTTTCTTAATTTAAAAAAAGAATAGATTCATAGTTGTCTTTTCCTTTTAGTTTTTTGACTTCTTCTCCCAAAAACCCTTTACAACTTTACTCTTTACCTTTCTCTCTTCTCAACTTTCATACATATTTGCAAGTTTTAAGAAATTGGAAGCTTTAATCATTGTATATTTCTTCCTCAACCGCCATTGAAGTGTGAAAAGGTATTTCTTAATTCTTTTTTTCCTTTAGTTTAGTTTTTTCTAATCATGTGTTGAAAGACTTGAATATCTTAATTTTTATGTTAAAAGCTATTTTATTTATTTGAGTATCGATCAACTATTTGGTGTATTGTGGATGATTTTTAATAAGTTTGGTATACTTGAACTTGACTACTATTTCAGTTTGGTGTTCAATGAGTTTGGAGAAATATTTTTTTAGAGTACCCAAAACAAGTTTGGCACCTCAAAATCAAAATCAACTACGTCGAGATGAAAATGTCAACCAAATAGAAATATCATCTCACTCTTCCCAAAGACAAGAATTTGATGTAAATGATTTAAAGGTTGATCTGGCTGAAAAAACTCAAATTTTGAATTATCATCCAAACCTTCGTGATGAGATAAGGAGGGCATATATCATTAAAGGTCCTTGTCAACCTCAAAATCATCAGTTTCCTCAAATTGATTTTTTTGGAACACCACATCATTTTATTTATACGTGGTTTGATGAATATCGTGATTGGTTGGAATACAGTATTAGTGTGGATGCTGCTTATTGTCTACCTTGTTATTTGTTTCAAGGAGAAAACATTAATAAAGGTGGTGGTAATGTATTTTCAACTAAGGGATTTACAAATTGGCATAGAAAGGATAACTTTGTTACACATATTGGTCCACCGAATAGCGTTCATAATCAATCCAAAAGAAAGTGTGAAGATCTCATGTGAGAACAACAATCTATTCAAGCCGCATTTTACAAGTTGGATGATAAAAGTAAGCATGAATATTGGGTTCGGTTAAACGCTTAAATCGATGTGGTAAGACTTCTCTTGGATCAAGGTTTTGCATTTCGTGGTCATGACGAGAGTGAATCGTCATTGAACAAGAGTAATTTTCTTGAAGTTCTTTCTTGGTTAGCTGCTAGATGTGATGCAATTAAACCTTTTGTGTTAGAAAAAGCTCCAAAAATAATAAAATGACTTCTCGTGATATCCAAAAAGATATTGTGACTGTGTGTAAGATTGAAACAGGTAAGACTATAATAGAGGATATAAATAGTGACTACTTTGCTTTATTGGTTGATGAATCTAGAGACGTGTCACACAAAGAGCAAATGGTTATTTGTCTAAGATATGTTGACAAAATGGGGTTTGTGATGGAGGCATTTATTGGACTTGTTCACATTAAAGATACTAGTGCTTTATCTCTAAAGAAAGCAATTGTAGATGTACTTGCTCACCATTTTTTGATTTTATCTAATGTACGTGGGCAATGTTACGATGGGGCAAGTAATATGCAAGGTGAGCTAGGTGGTCTTAAAACATTGATTGGACAAGAAAGTAGAACGGCTCATTCTGTTCATTGTTTTGCTCATCAACTTCAATTGACTCTTGTTGCGGTTTCTAAAAAGTGTGTTCAAGTAGGTGAACTTGTATTAGTAATTTCAAATATTTTGAATGTGTTGGGAGCTTCTTTTAAATGTGTGGATATTTTCGAGAATCTCAAAAAAAGCATCTCCAAATGGCATTGGAAATGGGTGAACTAGAAACTGGTAGAGGGTTGAATAAAAAACTTGGTCTTGTTAAAGCCGGTGATACTCGTTGGGGATCTCACTACAAGTCATTTGAAAACTTTATTAGTAGCTTTGACTCTATTATTGATGTTCTTGATACTCTTGTTGAAAATGCAAGTACTTTGGAAGAAAGAGCAAGCACATCGGGATTTCTCAGAAGTTGTCAAACGTTTGAGACTATTTTCTTGTTGCATTTGATGACAAATGTTTTAGAAATCACAAATGATCTTAATGTTTCATTACAGAAAAAGGAGCAAGACATTGCAAATGCCATGATTCTTGTAAAGGTAGCAAAGAGAAGGTTGCAAGCTTTAAGAGATAATGAATGAGATCATCTCTTAAAAAAAAATATTGGATGGGATTCACTTAAAGAAAAGGTAGAAGCATTTTGTATCAAGCATGACATTTCATTACCCAATTTTGATGATCCATATGCTAATTCTAGGAGATCACGACGTAAAATAGTTATTTGTACTACTTTGCATCATTATCGTGTGGATGTGTTTTATAAATTCATTGATTGGAAACTACAAGAACTTAATGATCGTTTCAATGAGGTGACAAGTGATTTGCCTAATGGAGTATCTTGCTTGACTCCAATTGATTCATTTTCTAGTTTTGACATAAAGAAGATAATGAGAATGGCTGAATTATATCCTGATGATTTTGATGGGTCCAACATGAGAGCTCTTGAGATTCAACTTGTTAATTACATTATTGATGTTTGTGATATTGATGAAAGGTTCTCCGATTTGGGTGGACTTGGAGAACTTTCAAGAAAGTTGGTTGAGACAAAGAAGCATTTAACCTATTCTCTCGTATTTCTTTTAGTGAAGTTTGCTTTGCTTCTACCTATTGCCACTGCTACAGTTGAAAGAGCTTTTTCGGCAATGAAGATTATCAAGAATGACTGGCGAAATCGAATGGATGATGAATTCTTAGATGGTTGCATAGTGCCTTATGTAGAGAAAAAAGTATTTAAAGATGTTTCTAATGAGTGTATTATGAAAACATTTCAAGAGATGAAGTGTCGTCGAGTGCAATTGTAGTTACCACTTTACAATTTACATATTTTGGTGTGTATGAAACTATCCGTCAATATATTTGTCCTACTTCATCTTCCTTCATTTTGTAAGTTTCCGTTTTAAGAATTTTCATTTTGGATAGTTGGTTAATTTGATATTGAGGTATGACTATTTTGAAGCCAATCTTTATAATCTGACTAGCAAGGTTCATTTTTTTACTTGTCCTAAAGTATGAACACCCTTGGCGAAAATCTTGGCTCCGCCACTGGTTATATGATATGTGCCTCAAACTCCATTATCATAATTGATTTATGAAGAGAGTGGGTTGATCAAAAGTTAAGGAAACTGGAAAACCTATTTGGAATTGACAATGTGAAAAATCAACTGTTGAAATTGTGGTTTGAGATTTTGTTTTTCATTTTTAGATACTTAGAAATTGATTGAGTGATTCTTGTATTGATCATCACGGATTTAAACATTATTGATTGTACAAATGAGTTTTGTGATTGTTAACGTTTTTGATAAGTTGTTGATTGAAGTTTGCTGGGATTATTATCTTGAAGTAGTTAAATTTTGAAGCTACTTGGGATGTTTTTGACCTATTTTAGAGTGGAGTTTTGTGAGTTCAACTTTTACAGGAGAGAAGTTCAGGGTTTGTACAATTTTATATAATGATGTAAATGCTCGTTTGATACGAAAGATAAGAAATAACTAATCTCGGGATTAATTTTAGGATTAGTTTATTTCATATTTGGTTGGGATAAAATCACGAAATAATTTATCTATAGTGTTGTTTTTATTCCACATTGAGGGTTGAATATAATTTGCAGAAGGACTCCGTAACGGCGGAGAGGGCTTGAAAGCCACTTGACTCTAAAGAGAGGGGCTTCGCCTCGAATCCAAATGATTTCTCTTCTTCTCTTAAGATATTTCTAGTTAGGACTTGATCGAGGAATCAATTGACTCCGAAACATAAAGTAACAAGACCATAACCCCGTGCCCCCGCCTAACTAAATAAGCCCTAAAACAATGTATAAACACTTCTTACACATTTTTTTTTTATATAAGATAGATATATTATTTATGGCATGTGTAATATTGTATGTATGAATACTTATTGAAAAAAAAAACTCAGCTATGCAAGTGTAAACTAAATATATATGTTGAAGTGCAATACTTTGTGTTGGGATATATAATTATGCAAATTTTGAATTCTTTTTGTAGGTTTTTACTGTTGAATTATGCCTCAATCCCAACTTCACTAGGACTAGTTATATCTTTATATGAATCCTCAATATTCATATCAACGACATACATTCATTGTAATCTCATAAATAAAGTTGAGGAGAATAGAGCATACACACTAGAAATTCAACCTTAAAACTGTTGTATCTACTCGATAAACCACTTTATACTTCATTAACATAACATGACAATCCAAACATATATCGACCCGATTGAAACCATACCATAAACAACCACCCTTTTCACAATTACTATATATTGCAGTATTTAATAGAACATGGATATCAACCTTAAAACAGAAACACACACGAACCCCCTGTATACACAGGACACATCCTCCTCTATCTAAGGTTCACCTCACCTCTTTCCTTTCTACATTGTTGTTCACTTCCGCTGGGTTAGAAACAGTACTATCAATTCTAAGGTTACAGAGCAGAGAATCGCGTCCGGTTAAAAGGATATGGAAGAATCTATCTGCTTCCTTTGCTAGCAGATCTAGTCCTCCTGAAAGTTTTTCCGCCTTTTCAGTCAGATTTGAAGTTAGGAGTTGCAACTGCTCAGCTTCATTAGGATCTACTCCATTCTGTATGAGGGGGTACAACTTCTTCACACTTGTATCCACTACTTCAAGCTCTTTCAGTGCTGTGATCCTTCCACTTGAATATATACTCCTGATTTCCTGACTGATAAAATCGCGAACATCAACAAATGCTTCTGTCCACAAGCAAGTCTCATGAATTTGCAAGTCTTTCAACTCCTTTGTAGAACCGGAAAACGTGACAGCAAACATGCTTAATATGAATACAGTTACTACCCTCACTCCGTACATTGCCCGCATTAGAACCTTACCTTTTGCAGAATTCTTTATCTTAGGTAGGTTCAGTGATTCCGTGAGGCTGTCCAAGATGGCAAAACAATTCTCTAGTCTTGGGTTCTTTGAATTGATATGCTGCTTCCATCCGTCAAATGAGGAACGAGCCTTCATGAACTGGTTTGAGGTTCCATCCAAGTTATGCAAGCCGCACTGAAGATAAAGGTGGCCTTGGTTAAGCCTTGAGATATCAGAGCTGAAAGCAATGCAGATGTCCAGCAACTTCACACTGTTGTCCAAGTACACATCTATCCACTTCTCATCCCAGTCACATACGGGAAGTTCAAGCTCAGTAATGAGAGTTTTCACGTCTGTATGAATTAAACAAAGTGTACTTATTGCTTGTGTCATCCATGACAACGTGAGGATATCTTCCTTACCTCCTGGCTTGAGACTCTTAACCCTCTCCGTTAATGACTCCTCAAAGGCATTTAACAGAGCCAGAAGCTTAGGAGACAAGTACGAGCCCTTAGGTAATATAAATTTGAAAGGATTTCCAAATGGGAGAAAAGGGCGGTGTGGTTCCTGTGGACGACTCATTTGAATATCAAGATACTGCACAGCAAATTTTTTAAAAAATGAGATGCAAAAAAGGACGAAACCTGTGGAATGGAGGCGAAAAAAAAGGCAACTACTTTTACTGGTTACAATTGAGGCAATTAATATACATGTTATGTTACATTACATGTAGTTTATCTGAGCAACACCTACATCCTAAAATAGGTTTCTTGAACTTTGGAAACAAATAACATGTGAAGCCAACAAAACATAGCAATCCAACATACCTTTTTTATCAAGAATTCTAAAAGAAATTGCACTTAACACAAGCAACACATTGAATAAACCATTTGTAAATTTGCTTTTTTAACAGCCACACCGGACACCTTTTGCTCAACCATGAAATGAATACCATCTTGAATGTGTCATTATTATATTCTCATTGCTCAGAATTAAGGAAGACAACATACACGCCCTTATTACCTAAACATTCGTTACTCCGTGTACAAAGGGATGAAAAATAAGCTAAATATCGAGTCTAGAGGAGCATATAAGAAAATTACACTTAATAACAAACATTTTAACTTGTTTTAATGCCTCAATTCCATTTGACTCTCGCAAGAATTTTCTCCTCACCCAAGCCTCAATCATTACAACTTCTCCAAATGAAAAGACAGGTAGCCAAAACTTCCTTCATCTGAAATTTTTCCAGCAGAATCAGTCTTTTCCAAGTACTAACTAAAATAAGCACATATTTCACTGTCATACACATACCAACTACCAAGCAACAGAGAAGTGTGAAACCTTAGGATTTTAGAACATTACTCGCCTCTAAGCACATACCATAGCCGTAGAATAAAAAACCTAATGTTGTAAGTTGCACCAAAATCAAGCAAATTTAACTACATACAACAAGAGGAAACCAATATCTGCTCAAATTAACCACCAATTAACCCATAATCACATCTAAAACACTCACCTGATAGTCAAATATCACAAATTCAAACATTTACCAAACAGTAGACACCTAATCATTTCTCCAACTCACACAAAGTCACATTTCAGAGTCGAACCCTAAAATAACATACATACATACACATACAGAAAAAAAAAAATATATGCCTATAAATCTAAACACACAAACCAATTTCTCCCCAAATTAACCACCAATCAACTCATAATCGCATCTAAAACACCCATCTAATAGTCAAATAATAACAATTCTAACGTTTCCAAACAGTAAACCCCTAATCATTTCTCCGATTCACACAAAACATACATAAATTCACAAATACAAAAAAATAAGCACACACATACACATAGAGTAAGAGAAAGAGACTGTACAGTAGTAGAGAGATGATCGGAAAATCGCCGCTAGAAAACTGGATATGCAGATGAGTAGAATTTCAGAAATGATAAATGTTAGGTTTTGAAGACAAGAGGGCTTTAGTTATTGTGAGATATTGACCGTTGGATTTTTTATCGTCAAATAAAAGAACGGCTAGGATTAGCCAAGTTTGGTACGGTCTATGGACATTTACTAATTTGCGTTACCGTGAGGAAGCGTGTAGAAGATTGTAGACGGAAAGAATCTAACCGTTTATATTTTTGGTGACGTCATTTCACTTTAAGGCCGTGTTTGTTGGATTTGTTTTATTTTTATACAGGCTTAAGTCATACGCGACCCCTTAAAGTCATCCGCATTTTTCATTTAGACACCTCAATTTAGCCTTGTACCTATCAAACACTTAAATCATAATAAATTTATACCTATTTGACACAAAATCACAATAAGTTGAAAAATAAATATGTGTGTGTTTCAAACGCCTGTACATAACAAACATACCAATAAAATGATGACACGTGGCATTGGATCCAACTTTTTAAAAAAACTCTATTTTAATAATCCAAAATGAATATTAAGAAAATAAAATTTTATTATTTTGAATTACCCTCCCCACCCGTCTTCTTCTTCATAAACCTATTTCCATGACCCTTCCATTGACGTCGATGCCAGCACCGGCAGCCTAGAAAATCATCACCCGACCTCTTTCTTTTCTCCCCTTGAATCAACCGACATCTTTCTTTCCTCCATCGAATCTTACTCCTTTCATGAGCGTCGGTAGTACACTATTGTTGTCCACCTAAGCTAAATACCCATTCTCTTTCATTTTAATAGCATCAAAACCTTCTATTCATTGTCTTTATATTTTTCCAATTAGTAATCATTAATCACAATTACAACAGATAATAATAAACTTTTTGCCCAAAAAAATCAATTCATATTTTTTCCATTGGAATGAATGGAGCTTCACCGGAATATTGAAGATGTAGATCTACATAAAAAAAAAAAAAGAATTGGAGAGGATGAGAGAAAGAGGTGGAGGGGGTGGGGTGGTGTGTGTTGTGT